AGGACCTAAGGAGGGAAACAAAAGCTTTCTGCCTTCCTTGTATGCATGTGCAAATCCCAACCCCAAGAACATGGACACAAAACATACATAGACACACACACACACACACACACACACACACACACCTATATTCACAAGCTAATACTAAAGAAGAGACTAACCATGATGCTTGTAGTCCTAGAGAAAGGTAGGAAAGGTGTGGCTCTTGCTCACAGAGAATTTTGTAGGCCAAAGCACAATTTTTGGTCTACATGATAGCAGTATTGAGACATCATCAAAATATACTAAAGAATGAATGACTTCTTGAGTGGTGTTTTAAATTAAATTAGACTATCATGTTACATTGTATGACATGAGGGTGGAGCAGACAACAGCACAAAGCAAAGAAGGAAGGGCAGTTTGAAAGCTATTTACAAATCTGGGAGCAAAGCAACGGTACCATGGACTGAGAATTCTGGTGGAGGTAGAAAGAAGGAGATAAAATCAGATGATAGCATGAGGGTGGTATAGCAAGATGATGATGAAGTAGAAATAAGATAGAAAAAGGAGAGAAGTATTAATGTATGGCTTTTAGAAGTCTTATTTGCCCCATGAAAAACAGATGCCTCTGCCAATCCAAGCAAAGTCTAGAAAGGAAAGGCTGGGAGTGACACATGCCTTTGGAACATAGAGGTGTAAAAGAACAAGAAGTTATTGGTGCTTGGAGGACAATTGAGAGCTGGAGATAGAAATGAAATATAAATTCTGGGGAAAACAATTTCCAGAGTGGGAAAAGGGGAGTGGCTGACAATGGTGGTTACAGACAAAGGTCAGAAAAGAGGAAGGAAATATGGGAACAGAGAGTCACGTGAGCCATCTAAGTAGTCAGGCAAACCATTACGTGTTTTAGAATATTGGGGTTTAAACGTTAGTCAAAGCCAATAATAGTAGAAAAAAAATAAAGTGTATAGGACAAGGAGAAGCTTGTGGTAGTAAGCTTCTTTCACAGGTGAGACAATGGGGCTCTAAATGGAATAGTTAGGAGTAAAGAGGAAAACTCAACAACATTTGACCCTGTGTTTAATGAGGCAGAGACAACTAATGCTAATATCCTAGTGGAACACATGGCTTGGATTAAAACATAATACCAGTTGTCCCTGGCCATAACACAGCAAGTCTTAGGTAATATCTTTGTCATTAAAAAGAAAATCCTATTATCAAGTTTAGCTTCCACCTTTGCAGGTTTCTCTGTCTCTGTCTCTGTCTCTGTCTCTCTCTCACATACACACACACAAAAACACCAAGATTTGAACTCGGATAGGCTTATGCACCCAACACTTCATTGACACACACATGACAACTTTGTTCAGTAGAAATTTGTTGAATTTTTATTCCAGAATAGCTGCATTTTTAAGAAGAAAATAGTATTCAGAGCTCCTTCCTAGAATCTTACAAAGACCTCAAGACAAGACCCTATAGTATGAGCTTAGAGAGCACTACTTTGTGAAGCTTGTGAGAGTCTTTGGGAAAAGCATCAAGACACTATAGAGGCCACATCAAAATTCTAGCTTAGAAACAATAAGTTCAGCCCTAACAGAAGCCTACCATACCAGAGAGAAATAAAAACCCACTCCTGGTGGCTCCATATTTTGAATGAGAGTAAAGGAAGAGTAAATATCAAGACAGAATGACTTCATGTATTTTCTGTTTAGTTTGTATTCAATTATTACTATTTGCTAACACAGTGATGTACTTCAGGTATTAAAAACTCTAAATTGGGGGGGGAGCAGGAGAGATGGCTCAGTGGTTAAGACTACTCTTTCAGAACTCAAATCCAGTTCCCAGATTCCACATGATGGCTCACAACTACACGTAAATCCATCTCTAAAACATACAACTCCCTCTTCAGGACTCTGTGGGCACTTGCACACACCTACAAAAAGAAATCTTTTTTGTAAAATTGTAGACTCCCCAGTAAAATGCTTTTTTTTTTCTTTTTCCCAGAAATACTGGAAATCTGTAAATAAGTCTGATTGGGCTTTCTTATATGAAAAATTGTCTAGGAGAAAAGTTAAGAGCTCCTATAATAGAGCAAGTGTTCCTAAATTAATATGCCTACAGTAGCAGACCCATGTCACATGATTTATTTCAAAGTCCTTTTTATTGTTTCTATCAGCAACCAGGCCTACACATTCTGTGTGTCTGTCAGTCTTCATATGTGTGTGTTTTTGAAGAACATCTGAGTATTTCCTAATTCATATAAAAAATCCTTCAAATTCACACCTGATAATCTGGAACTGCTCTTTGCTTCTATGTTTTGTTTTAATTTTTATTTTTTGTATTAATTACAGTTTATTCAATTTTTATCCCAGCTGTAGCCCTCTCCCTAATTCCCTCCCAATCCCACCCTCCCTCATCTCCTCCCATGTCCCTCTCCAAGTTTACTGATAGGGGAGGACCTCCTTCCCTTCCATCTGACCCTACCCTATCAGGTCTCACCAGGACTGTCTTTCATAGTCTTCCTCTATGGCCTGGTAAGGCTGCTTCACCATCAGGGGGAGGTGATCAACGAGCCAGTCACTGTGTTCATGTCAAAGACAGACGCTGTTCCTGTACTAGGGAACACACTTGGATACTGAGCTGCCATGAGCTACATCTGGTGGGAGTAGAGTAATAGTCATACCTCAGAGAGAAAGGCATAGCATTTTGATTGCTATATGAACTATAGTTCAATGATAGAGCAAGCACTTCTGAAAAAATGCCCAGGTGAACTTAGGACATTTCACTTCAATACAAGTTGCATGTTTTAATGGAACCAGAGGTATATGTCTTTAAAGTACCATTTCTGCACTTAATGGAGACTTGGCTATTAGCCTAGTTTAAAATGTTATCATGAATTAAGCAGGAAAACCTTTTAAAGTCTCTTTCCACATGGTTTAATGTTAGCTTTTTTGATCAACGAACAAATAACCTTAGTGTTATTTTCCCTTGATCATTCCAGTTTCATTCACAGGGCTTATAAAAACAAGGGCTTTCCTAGAATCCAATTTGCTGTGGCTGCTAAGAGATGTAATTTTGAGTCTAACAAGAATAAAGCACTTAATTAAATTATTAATATTTTGGCATATATATAAAATGCTACTAATAAAATGTCTATTTCTGAGGATTTAATACATATGAACACAAATGGATTGACTATAGTGATACAAAATGTAACTATATGTAAATTGCCAAATGAAGCCAAAGGGTTCTTTATTGTGCCTCTTTCCCAAATGGCCCCTAGTAAAGAATTGAACAAAATGTATCCTGGGCCTCTCACAAGCTATATCATGGTCAAGTTGACTTCTACACGTGGTCATCAAGAAACCCGAATACAGTTCATGAAGGGACCTCTGTAACCCAGATGGCTGGCAGTAGGAGGTAGGGACACAGAAAAAAAGGGGGGGAAAGAGCAAACTTCTTAAAGTGTTCCTAAATTGGTTCTCTGCTCCTTAGGTTATTATTTCTTACACTGCCTCCTTTATAAGGAACCTTAAAGTATGTCAACTGAATTTCAACCTTGGATTCATTCATCTCTCTATTATTCACATGAGAGTCACCCTGTTACAATTATTTACATGTCCGATTCTACACGTTCCCTCCCTACTTCAGAACCCCTCATGAGAAAGGGCTTGAGATCTTTTATACCACCCCCACTGTGAAATCTTACATAGCAAATTGTAGGTGTTCAATCAACATTTGTAGAGTGAATGGATAAACGTGGTTTCCTCATGCCTTCAAAGACTTCTAAAATACATAAATTGAGTAGTAACAGTTTATAAAGATTTGTGTTCATGAACTTTATATTTATTTAAATTCTGTCCAAATGTCAAACTTTATGTTTTGTTTTTTTTTCTCTTTATAAATTTTTAAATTTTAATTTGAATTACTTTTCTTCACAATTTATTCATTATATATTCCAATTGAAGACCCCTCCCTCAACTCCTCCAAGTTCCACCCACCTTCCTTCTCCCCCTTATCTCCTTCCCCAGTCCACTGAAAGGGGAAGTTCTCCTCCTATGCCATTTGCCCATAGCTTATCAAACTCATCAGGACTGCCTGGATCCTTTTCCTCTGTGGCCTGGCAAGACCACATAGCCAGGGGCAAGTGACCAAAGAGCAAGCAATCAAGTTCATGACAGAGGCAGCCTCTGCTCCCCTTACTTGGAAACCCACATGGAGACTGAGATGCCAATTGGCTACATCTGAGCAGGGAGTCTAGGTCCTCTCCATGTATGGTCCTTGGTTGGTCCATCAGTCTCTGCAGGAACCCTGGGCTCAGAAATTTTAGCTTTGTTGGTCTCCTTGTGGGCTCCTGTCATCCATGTCCTTCTATCCCAGCCCCCCCCTTTTTCCATGAGACTCCCTGTGCTCTGCCCAAAGTTTGGCTGAGAGTCTCAGAATCTGCTTGGATTCCCTGTTGGGTGGAGCCTTTCAGAGGACCCTCTATAGTATACTCCCATCATGTTTCCTCTCTTCCATTGCTTCTGGTGTCTATTCTGTTTGCATTCTGAATGAGATTTAAGCATCTTCCTTAGGGTCATCCTTAGTGTTCAGCTTCTTTAGGTCTCTAGATTTTAGTATGGCTATCCTATATTATATGGCTAACAACCACTTATAAGTGAGTGTAAACCATGTGTGTCTTTCTGTTTCTGGGTTACCTCATATAGGATGATCTTTTCTAGTTCCATCCATTTACCTGCAAATTTCATAATTTCCTAGTTTTTAATAGCTGCATAGTATTCCATTGTGCAAATGTGCCACAATTTCTGCATCTATTCCTCCGCTGAGGGACATCTAGGTCGTTTTCCAGATTGTGCAAAATTAGACAACAACAAACCAAATAATCCAATTAAAAATCAGTTACATAGCTAAACAGAGAATTCTCAACAGAGGAATATCAAATGCAGAGAAACACTTAAAGAAATGCTCTCCAGTCTGGACATTTCCTGAATGTAAACATTTGATATTTTTTCTTGCAGAATTTATCCCACAGGCATTTGGAATGCCCTTATCCCAAGTCATTGCTAATGACAGGGCATATAAACTGAAGCAAGACTTTCAGAAGGAGGAACAGAAGGATGCAGCGGATTTTGTGTCTTCTCTCCTTCCATTTGGCAATAAAAGACAGAACAAAGAACTCTCAAGCAGTAACTCATCTCTCAGCTCAACCTCCGAAACACCAAACGAGTCCACATCCCCAAACACTCCAGAACCGGCTCCTCGGGCCAGGAGAAGGGTGAGTTGGCCAGGATCCCCTATGACTCTGAGAAAACAGAAAATTAGTTTCTGCTAACATGAAAACTGGACACATTGTAGATATCTCTTACACAGAGGTATAAACAGTACTCCCCATGTGGTAGCTAACATTCCCTTTCTCTCCTGCTTAACTTGGTACCCGAATATTCTGCACCAATGTCATTGATATTGGTCTTTTGTTATCTCCTTCTGTCTTACTAGAAAGACAGATAACTTTTGTTATCTCCTTACTGTCTTCCTACTCAATCAGACAAATCTACCCTGCAACCTATTGGTCCCATGCCCACAAGGGTAGCTATGAATATGACAAAACACAAATCCATCAAATTGTTTAAAACATTATGAGAATTGTTTTGGCTGCTTTGTTTTGTAACTCAGGGGTGTATATATATATTTGCACACATGGGTTGCAAATTAGATACCCCTATAGCTAGATGCAGAGTCTTGAGGCCAAGGTCCAGTGTTTCTGCTAATTTTTTTCAATACCATTCTTAGAATGTACCAGGATCAATGAATTAACCACAACTGTTCAAAATCAATGAGAGATTTAGATTTTTCTTATCAATAGAGGTTGGTCTCTCCTTCAATAGAGCTGTACAGTTGTATGCAGTCTTATTCAAATCCATACCATAGCAATATGGTGCTATATTGATCCAGTGGGCATTACGATCTAGGCTCTGTGCTCTTTCCCTGTTAATTGGAAACCTAGAAAGCTGAGTTTCTCAGGCTGCCAGGATTGTAATCAGCATAGTCACTGAATGTTGCATGTCTCTGAGAGTTCTTTGCTAAGCTTTAAGCTGTAAATCTTTGCTATCTCCAGCCATTGAAGACTGCCCTAGTTAAATATACAACCGGACTTCCATTTATAACTCATATTTCTTAGACAGCTACCAGCATTCAAGACTTCTTCTAAGGTATAGCAAGACTTAAGGCCCTGTTAATTTTTATGGTATTGACTATGATACAAAATGGAAAAACTGAAAAAAATGAGCAATAGTTGCATTTTCCAGATGAAATTGTTCTTCTAAGCCTGCAATTGTCTTAAGAGTGTTTATAAATGCAAATAACAGAAGCACCAAAGCTCTAAATTTGAGCTTTTGGGCAACCTGGAACCTAGGCAGTGGACTTCCTAAAATATCCTTTTCTGAATCCAGGTCTTACCAGGACTCCAATAGCTAACTTCGTACCACACACTTCATTCAAGACATAAGGCTGTAACCTCTTGTATGCTGGGGTTACAGGCATGTACCACAATATCAAGTTTGAATGTTCCTATGTTTAAATTCTACTTCTTAGATCTATAATTGAGGATTTCTTTATTCACAAGATTTCTATGACTTTACCTCATTCATTGAGTATGCAATTTTTGTTTCAAAAAATGAAGTGGTTGAATCAAAGTATTTTAATTATATGTTTCCCACCTCTTGTCTTCCATTTGGAAAAGTCTGTGTATTGAATTCGTCACTAACAATACTTATCCTATGTTGTAGATATTTCCTAACTCTTTCAAAAGGCATTTAGTTTTTCTGTTTAATATGTCAGCAATAAACAACATAACTAAATGAGGAAGTATTATCTTTTGAGAGTTACAGTCCTTCATGAATGTTTATTGGGTGGCCTCTGCAAGCAGCTGTTTTTTTTTCCTGCTGTCTGCCCTCTTCTTCAAGTCTGCACATCATTTACAGGGTGCCATGTCAGTGGATTCCATCACCGATCTGGATGACAACCAGTCTCGACTCCTAGAAGCTTTACAACTTTCCTTGCCTGCTGAGGCTCAGAATAAAAAAGAAAAGGCCAGAGATAAGAAGCTGAGTCTGAATCCTATTTACAGGCAGGTCCCCAGACTAGTGGACAGCTGCTGCCAACATCTGGAAAAACATGGTAAGTAGATTTGCTCCACTTTTAAAAAATAAAGACAATTCAAAAACAGATGTATAGACATACATATACATGAAGGTGAAATAAACACATAAAATAAAGGTGTTAATATTTAATATCAAAAATGTGAAAATTTACTATTTTTGAGATAAGTCAAGAATCATTGATACCATATAATATTAAAATAATTAATACCAATATAAAAGATACATGCAGAATATTTATGCTATAAAGGACCCGTGAAGAGAATTGCAAGCCTTTACTTTGTTGTTTCTAGATAGAAAGAAGTAATTCTATAAATTTTAAAATTCTTTCCAGTTACACATGTTTTACTAGTCAGAATTTTTTTCAGCTGTTCGTGAGGGAAAACAAGATGAAATTAGATTAAGGAGAATGCCTGACTACCTGCTCCAATACTCTGGAATCCTTATGTATATTCTGGGAGTCTGTTTTGTTTTGTTAAGTTTTGTTTTGTTTGGAGAGAAGGTTCCTCTATGTAGTACCATTGGCTGTCCTGGACTTGCTTTGTAGACCAGGCTGGCCTCCGACTCACAGGAATCCACCTGCCTCCACCTGCCTCTGCCTTTCCCCAGTGCTAGGATTGAAGGTAAGTGCCATGATGCCCAACTTATCTGGGAGCCTGAATGCAAGATTCAAACAACGCTGTGAGTGTTCCCTGTTTACTGCATTTGATCTTAGATCAACTATATTCATGTAGTTTCAAATGGCCACTAGTAGTCTCAATATAGCACCATTCTTGTACCTGATTATGAAGAGAAAATGAACAGTGAAAAAAAAATGTGGATGATGCTACTTCTTAGTGATCATGAAGGGTTCTTCAAGAAAATGGAAGCCACATATGGTGTCACATGCCCTTTAATGCCAGCAGGCAGGAGGCAGAGAAATGCGGATCTTTTTGGGTTAGAGAGCAGCCTGGTTAACATAGTGAGACAGAAAGAAAGTGGAGAAACACCTTTGTCTTCGAAGAAAGAATACAATATACCTTATATAATATTCTTACCTCTGATAATCACATTTTGCCATAAAAATCTTGTGCTTTATACCTCATGTCATTAGAAAATTAACGGAAGAAGGGAGCCATATAAATGAAATCATGAAATATCCAAATATATACAGTGGAAAATCAGTTATTTCTGCACAAAATAAATCGTATAAGGAGATGGAAAAAAATAGTGGATGAACAAAACACAAATTAAGCCACTAAAAGGCACATTGACTCACAATTTTTGACTCTTATGTGGGTGTTGCCTGAAAAGTCATTATAATTAAATGAATATTGTTGGAATTTCCAACAAGTGCTAGTGAGACTGTTGGGTTTTTTTTAAAGACCAAATTTTTAAAACGTATTTATTTTATTATATTTCATTTTATGTCTATGTGTGGGTTTGATATTAGCCTTATATACCACATGCATTCAGGTATCTGCAGAGGACAGAAGTGGCTGTCTCCTAAAAGTGGAGTTGCAAGTGTTTGTGAGCTGCCATGAGGGTGCTGGGAACTGAATCTGGGTCCTCTGGAAGAGCAGTGAGTGCTCTTACCACTGAGCCATTTTTTTTCAGCTTCAATTTCTCTACAAGAAATAAAATATAACTTTTTTCATTATTGAAAAAAAATTTATACATGATTTTTATAGGGAATTTAGCTCTTTCTCATGTTTGAAATATATACTTTATTTTTCTAATCATAAGGAAAATATTCTTCTTAAAGAAAACCCTATTAAATATAGAAAAACATTTTAAATGCTTTAAAAGAAACAAATCACTTTAAATTTCAATTTCTTTCTATTCACCCTTTAAAACTCCCTGAAAAAAAAAAACATGTATCACTTAGTTGGAATTATACTCTATATACACCTATCTATAAATAACGATAGATAGGTGATATAGTGTGTAGATATAGATATAGATGATATATATATATATAGATGAAACATAACTATAGATAAATAAATGCTGTAGATAACTAGAAATTGTATAGATATATGCAGAGAATGCCACTGCTATTACTTGGTGGTAAGACAGAGTTTTCGTGTCTACAAAAGTTACTTGTAAATGTCTTTTAAAATGGATGAGTGATAGTCTGTCCTCTGAATGGACCCAAATTAGCTCCAAACACATAAGCTTACTTGTCTATTATAAATAGTGCTATTCTGACCACCTTTGTGTGCATATCTTTGTTCACATTTTTAATTATACAATCATCTCATAGATGTAGAATTATAAGGACAATGCCTATGAAGATATCTCTCTGACCTATAGCATCAATAATCATACAGGGAAAAACTATCATCCCAAAACATTTACTGTAAAACAAACAAACAAACAAACAAGCAAACAAAAACGATGCTTAAAGAGCCACCTAAGTATCTGGGAAACAAGAATAGTATGGAATGTGAAAGTGTCATTGAATATTGTGAGTCACTGTTGGTCGGCAGGTCACAGTTCAGTATGTACCTTCTACACTGTTACACTGTTTCTACATTGATTTTACTTAAAATCTTTTGTTTGATTATTTTTAGGCCTCCAGACAGTGGGAATATTCCGAGTTGGGAGTTCAAAAAAGAGAGTAAGACAAGTAAGTGGAAACTAAAGGTCAGATTGTTCACTTAAATTGATATTTAATGGCATTACTAGGTAGAAAGTTCAAGTTTATGTAAATTCTGTTCTGACTATCTTTTTCTTACCCTCCAATTGACTATAATAGAATTAAAAATCAGAGAATGAAACACAACTCAGACACTTAGAAAAGTAGAGTTGGGATGAAACAGCTGAAAGAAAATGTCTGGACAAGTCCATTCGATGTTGAGCTGAGGGAACTATTTGATAAAAATGTCACTGAAGCAGGAAAAGCAGGTGATTCAAAAATGCCTAATCAACAAGTGATAGTAAATAGAATATAATTATTTTCCTTTTTATTTATTTATTTTAATTTATTACATTATATTCACTTTGTATCCTAGCTGTAGCCCACTCCCTTGTTCCGGACCAATCCCACCCTACCTCCCTTTTCTCCTCTCATGCTCTTCCCCCAGTCCACTGATATGGGAGGTCCTCCTTCCCTTTCATCTGACCCTACCCTATCAGGTCTCATCAGGACTGGCTGCACTGTCTTCCTCTGTGGCCTGGTAATCAAAAATCCAGCCACTGAATTCATGTCAGAGACGGTCCCTGTTCCCCTTACTAGGGAAACAACCAACTTGGACACTGAGCTGTCATGGGCTACATCTGTGTAAGTTATCTGAATGCATGGTCCTTGTTTGGAGTATCAGTCTCAAAAACAAAAACAAACAAACAAACAAAGCCTGGACCCAATATTTCTGGTTTTGTTGTTCTCCACAAGGAGCTCCTGTCCCCTCCAGATCTTTCTATATCCCCCTTCTTTCATAAGATTCCCTGCACTCTGCTCAAAGGTTGGCTAAAAGTCACAGCATCTGCTTTGAAACACTGCTGGGTAGAGTCTTTCAGAAACCCTCTGTGGTAAGCTCCTATCCTGTTCCCTATTTTCTTTCTCTTCCAATGTATATCCTTTCTAAATTCCAAGTGGATCAAAGACCTACACATCAAACCAGACACACTAAACTGTTAGAAGAAAAAGTGGGGAAAAGCCTTGACCTCACTGGCATAGAAGACAACCTCCTAAACAGAACACCAATAAGCAAAAGCTCTAAGATCAACAATCAATAAATGGGACCTCCAGAAACTGAAAAGTTTCTGTAAATCAAAGGACACCGTCATCAGTCAAATGATAGCATACAGACTGGGAAAGGATTTTCACCAATCCTATATCTGACAGAGGGCTAATATCCAGAATATATCAAGAACTCAAAAAGATAAACAGCAAAAAAAAATCAAGTAATCCAATTTTAAAAATGGGGTGCAGAGCTAAACAGAAAATTCTCAATAGAAAAATATTGAATGGCAGAGAAATAATTAAAGAAATGTTCAACATCTTTAGTCATTAGGGAAATGCAAATCAAAACAACTCTCAGATTCCATCTTACACCTATCAGAATGGCTAAGATCAAAAACTCAAGTGACAACACATGCTGGAGAGGATGTGGCGAAAGGGGAACTCTCCTCCATTGCTGGTGAGAGTGCAAACTTGAACAACCACTTTGGAAATCAATCAGGTGATGTCTTAAAAAATTAGGAATAGTGCTATCTCAAGATCCAGCTATACCACTCCTAAGAATATACCCAAAAGATGCCCCACCATTCAATAAGGACATTTTCTCAACCATATTTACAGCAGCTCTATCTGTAATAGCCAGAATCTAGAAACAACCCAGATGCCCCTCAATGAAGGAATGGATACAAAAAAATGTGGTACATTTACACAATGGAATATTACTCAGCAATTAAAACAACAAAATCATGAAATTTTAAGGCAAATGGTGGGAATTAGAAAAGATCATCCTGAGTGTGGTAACCCAGAAGCAGAGAGACACACATGGTATATACTCACTTATAAGTGGATGTTAGTCGTATAATATAGGATAAACACACTAAAATCTATAGCCCTAAAGAAGCTAAACAATTAGGAGGACCCTAGGGAAGACTTTTAATCTTCACTATGAAGGGCAAACAAGATAGACATTGGAAGTAGTAGAAGACAAAGAACAGAACTGGAGCCTTCCACAGAGGGCCTCTGAAAGATTCTGCCCACAAGGGTATCAAAGGAGATAGAGACTCATAGCCAAATTTTGGGCAGAGTGCAGGGAATCTTATGGAGGCAGGGGGAGATAGAAAGACATGGATGGGGCAGGAACTCTACAAGAACAATAGAGCCATAATACCTGAGCCCAGGTAGTCCTGCAGAGACTGCTACTCCAACCAAGGACCTTGCAAGAAGAGGACCTAGATGTCCTGTTCAAAGGAATCACATTGGCTGCTTAATTTCCAAGTGGAGTTCCTAGTAAGGGGTACAGGGACTGTGTCTGTCATGAATTCAGTGGCTGGCTCTTTGATCACCTCCCCCTGGGGTGGGGTGGGGTGCTGCCATGCCAGACCACAAAGGAAGATGATACAGCCAGCCTTGAGGAGACCTGATATGCTAGGGTTACATAGAAGGGGAGGAGGTCCTCCCCTATCAGAACACTAGGGACAGTGCATAGGGAGAGAAGAGGGAGGGAGCTGCGATGGAAATACAAAATGAATAAATTGTAATAAATAAATATATAAATAAAATATTTTTTAAAAAATCCAGCTATACCATTCCTAGGCATATATCTAAAATATGCTCATGTATACATCAAGGACATTTACTCAACCATGTTCGCAGCAGCTTTATTTGTAATAGCCAGAATCTGAAAAACAATACAGATGTCCCTCAACAGAGGAATGGATACAAAAATTTTGGTATATTTACACAATGGAATACTATTCGGGTATTAAAAACAAGGAAATCATGAAATTTTCAGGCAAATGTTGGGAACTAGGAAAGACCATCTTGAGTGAGGTAATCCAGAAGCAGAAAGACACACATTGTATATACTCATAAATGGTTATTAGACATACAATATGGAAAATAATTTTGTAGTCAGTTTTACCAAAATATGATAGTAAAATGCCTTGTACACTCTAATCTGATGCTACTTTTATGCCATTACTTTTACACAAATAAATGTGTTGTAAGATTCTATGGAACCGTTGGTCCTTGATTCGCTTTTCATGATAAGACTGTTCCTTATTTTTTCCAGTCTTGCACTACATTCTTGTGGAAGAAAATTGATATTAGATTATCAAGGACAGTTTTCTTTCATCAGATACGTATTTGTGCTTGTGATGGCTTCATACAAGCCAAGTTCTCCTTTAACAGAACTCATTTCTTAACAAAAGACAGTTACAATGTTATTTTTCTCATATTGCTTGTAAGAGATGAAAATAAGAAAGTCTACAATTTAAAAGCTAAGCCAGGTTAAAAAAAATTAGTTGGCTGAATCTAAAGAATTGTTTGTTCATATGTTGAAGTAAATGTCCTATCATGTGCCTTCTTCATTGTTAAGATAAAGGTTATTTTTCTAAATCATTTATTTGTATTCTTAATAATCAAACAAGGTGAACGAAAAACATTTAACCATTCACCATGGCATTTATAAAATAGAGAGTTGTTCAGCAACATCTTCTAGGCCTTACACTTATGTAAAATTAAGGAATAACTTTATTAATAATATCTCATTGAATCACCCTTCCAGCTGTAGTCCCCTTCACCCCTTTCTTTGAAGGTCTATAAAGATTTAGAAATTTGATTCAAAAGCAAGTGATTTAAGCTCTTTCCATTGCCCATCCCCTCTGCCTCTGTGTGTGTTTCTGTGTGTCTATGTAATATGAGTGTGTTCGGGACACAATCATGGTGGATCTCAACCATCTTGATTGGAGTAATGCTATAGGCATCCTCTTTACTCTGTAATGATGATGGAAACTTGTCTGGAATAAGTGAGCAATTCAGAACAGTGATGGGTATTTTCATCAGCTGGACAGATGGTGTTGCCAGCAATTATTTCTTAACATTCTTTAGATTTATTGAAAAAAAAAAAAAGAAGGAAAGTCTTTGTGTAGGGATTTACTTAAGGATTGCTCACTCGATAAGATGCAATTATTGGTAACTTAGGACTAAATTTGAGTATGAAATATGCTTTAGCTTATGATTTCATGTTTTTATGTAACTTTTCTAAAGCCTGCACTTCTTCAAAGAAAGAGCTAGAGCTTGGGAGATGGTTCTTGATATGTAAGCATGAGGACTTCAGCGCAGATCCCCAGCATCCACATAAAAACCTGCAATGGCCCCATACCTATAACCTCAGTACTAGGGTTGATGGAGGGCAATCAGAGTGGGAAGCATCCCTGAAGCTTAATGGTCTTGAGCCTAGCCAAGAAATGGCCAACTCTCCAGGTTCAGTTCAGTGAATGAATTTGTGTAATGAGCATAAGAATTCCAGTGATAAAGGAAAACACACATCATCCCTTGGCCTCTACATGTGTGTACCACATACAAATGTTCATATATATCCTGTACACAACAAAGAGAAGAGGGTGTTATATGTATATTTTTAAAGTAAGAACTTATCATTTGTGGTGTTACCTACTGAGCTCATATCTCTACTAGTGTAAGGAATCAAGGAGAGTTAGAGACATTGTGTCTCTATTTACAAGTGTACTTTGAAGAACCATAATAGGGCTTGAGATCCAGCAAAATGTGATGAGTCTTTGTGGAAGGAAGGAAGGAAGGAAGGAAGGAAGGAAGGAAGGAAGGAAGGAAGGAAGGAAGGA